TGAGGATTAGTGAGGGAGATAGTCACTAAAGAAGTAAAGTCATAAATATAGCAATGTAAATTGTGATAAATCCCTCCCAGCACCGTTAAGGTGATGGTCTTTACTTTTATTTTTTTAAAGATTTATTTATTTATGCATACAGAACTCGGGTACAAGCTAGAGGTGCAAGGGGCGGTGAGAGGATTCACCAGAGACAGAGCCGGGAGCACAACAGGCAGATCGTGGAAGTACACTGCTGAGGGGAGCAGCGGGCCGGTCAGGAGAGGTCTGCCAGCCTTGTGGGTCACCGCCGGTCGGGGCAGGCAAGGATCAAACTCACACTGAAGTGGCTGCAGCTCACTTTCAGTGCTGCATCTTAATCCATTGCACCACCAGGTCCTAGGTGATGGTCTTTAAAACCAGTTTGCTTGGATTGGAAATCCGGGCTTTGCCATTCCATGCCTGTGTTTAGCCACTTATAACATGGAGCATAATTGTCCCCTTCGCACAGGGTGTTATTGTGAAGATTAAATTAATTGAGACAATGTAGAAACAATCCAGAACAGGTTCGACACATTTTAAAATCATGTACTCTTTATTATGATAACGAGGGGGGAAAGCAGCTTTCCATCAAAGAGGAAACAGGCCTGTCTGTGGAGTTGACCTATACAAGGATCCAGTCAAGCAAAATGGACAAAAAAGGCAGAAAGAGTAGCATGTACCAAGAGCATACAAAACATTGTTCATCTTTATTTTAAATATACCTAAAACTGGTGGCCCTGGGTATAAAGGATGCTTGCTAAGTGGCCCCAGGATGCCAGACATTTGAGAGATGCTATTTCAGATTTAGGCTTGAGGAAAAACCAGCAAAGTGTGCCATGAGGGCCCCTTTGTGGTAGTGCAAGGAGTTAAGTCTCAGCAGTATAAAGCTATGGCCAGGCACTGCAGCACAAGTTCATCCCAGATCCCTGGGGAGGTGGGGGGGTGAAGGGGGATGTGATCCCAGTCCAGGAAGGTGACTCAGATGGTGCTTAGGACCTCTCCTCTCCTGCCCACTGTTCCCCTCAGCAGTTTATTTCAGACCACACTCTGTCTCTGGTGGATCCTCTCACCATTGCATCTTTGGCCTATACCCCAGTTCTTCTACACAAAAAATCAATAAAATATTTATGAAAAATTGGAGGCTTTTCCCTACCATGAAAAAATAGAATATATTTAATGAAGGAGGAGGGAGCTAAAAGAAAATAGCTAAATTTACTAAGAAGATGATAAGGTAAGCTCCTGAGCATATCTGTACATGTTGTCCTTTACTTAAAGAAAAGAAGGCATATTTGGAGCCCTCCTTGGTGGTGCAAGGGATTAAGTCTCAGCACTATGAAGCTATTGCCAGGCACTGAAGCACAAGTTCATCCCTGATGGCCAGAGAGCTGACCCACATGGCTCAGCAGACCTCTCCTATCTCACCCACTGCTCCCCTCAGCCATGTATTTCAGTAGGTCTGCCTGTTCTGCTCCCCACTGTCTCTGGTGAATCCTCTCACCACCCCTGCACCTTTGGCCTGTACCCTAGTTCTGTATGCACAAATAAATAAATCTTAAAAAAAAAAAAAAAAGGTGGTCATCAGCAAACTAAGGAGAGAGGCCACAGGACAAACCAAACTGTCTCAATCTTGTACTTTTAGCCTTTGGGCATATGAGAAAATAAATCTCTATTGCTTTAGCCACCCAACCTGTAATATTTTGTTATGAAAGCCTTAGCAAACTGAAGAAGCCATCCTCTAACTGCTTCCCAGGTGCCAGAGTGGCCCCCACAACTCCACCTTCCATCTGCTTTGCTGCTTCCATCATCTTTCTAAATGTTAATCTGGTTTCTTCTCCTCACTCAAAGCCCTTCAGTAGTTCTTCATCAGACCTGCTCCAAATCTCAAACCCCAGAAAGTCACCCATAGTCTGACATGCCCCAACTTCCTACCACATTGTACTGTGCCAAGCTGCCCCAGACATGGAATACTCTTCCCTTACCCTGTAACTCCTTCCAAGCATCATCAACTCTGTAAAGCTGATCTGACCTTCATTCTCCTCCTGCCACTCACAAATGATCACCTGCTTTGTTGTGCCACTATTTTACCTTAGACATTCACATATACCCATGAGTTTGTCAAATGAGATTACAACTATCAGTCATTTTCTTTAACATGCTATCTCCTTTAGGTCAGATTTTTTGCTCCTCTACACATTCCCAAATTTTTACCCAGTATAGAATGGAAGATAACACCTGTGTATGCCTAACTCCATGGCAGTCTAGCTGCCTATTCACAATGCTACTACAACTGCCCACACCAGGCCACCAACATCTTCTTGTGGTTAATTTCATTCTATACTTTTCAGTCCCTTTTTTCTTGCATTTTCTGCAGCTTTCAACCCTGTGGTTAACTCTCTTTTCTCGCAAGTCCTCCCATTTTTTGCCTTTCTTCCAATTATCCCAGCTGTTCCTCTTTAGTCTCCTCTAAGGACTTCTTCTCTTCTGTTTATCTTTAATATGTTGGGTTTTCTTCAGAGTTCTGCCTGTGATTGTCTTCTGTCAGCATTCTCACACTCTTCAGCTCATCTTATTCCCTCGACTTCAGCCAATACCTTTTGCTGATGACTGCTAAACCTGAATCACCAGCCCAGATATTCTTAAATGCCACACACATGTACACAGCTGCTTATTAGACATCACTTAAAAGAAATCACAACCTCTGGAGTCAAACTGTTTGAGTTTAAAGACTTCCCCCATCACTTACTAAGCTGTATGGTTTGGAGCAAGTTAATTATCTCTCTGCACTTTAGAAATTAACAATGGTCCTAGCTTTCAGGGTTGTTATAAGGATTAAATGAAATAATTAATCATCTATCAGATTCAGGTGGAATATGAATCCTTTGCAAGTAGCATCTTCCATGACTACAACAGTGCCTGGCAAATAGTGCATGCTCAATACACTCAGTGAGTTAGCTGGTTCCCAAGAAATAACCATCACATTGCATTCAGGTAAGGCCAGAGTTAGAGGTTTTGTTTGTGGAGAATGTTTTAGTTTTTACGTGAATTACAACAAGCAGAAGATTGGAATCTAAGACTGAGGTTGAGTTTAAGAAGATTAAGAAGTTTAATGATTCAAGAATTGTCACAGAGCACAAGCTGTAATCCTTTTAAGGAAGTGAGCTATGACGAATAAACTGTTATAATGAGGGCCCTCCCTGGTGGCACAATAGGTTAAAGCAGAGCACTGTGAAGCTAGCGGAAACCACTTCAGCAAGAGTTCCATGTTGGGCCAGGGAGCTGAGCCACATGGCACCTCAGACCTCTTCTGTCCCGCCTGCTGCTCCCCTTAGCAGTGTATTTCAGTAGCTCTGCCTGTTCTGCTTCCCACTCTGTCTGTTGAATCCTTTCATCGCCCCTGCACCTCTGGCTTGTATCCCAATTCTGTATGCATAAATAAGTCTTTTTTAAAAAAAAAAAAGTTACAATGAGAACTCACAGATATTTGGATGCAGTAACCACCAATTTTAAAAACCTCTTTTTACGAAAGAGTCCCCTATTTACTCCCATCACTCAAATTGTGTTGAAGAGTCCAATTCCAGGCTAGGCAAATCAGCTTCGGATGGAGTATCATGCTGGATCTGAGAATTCAAATTTAAATTAGGAGACAAATAAAAATATAATCTCAAGCAGCGTTCCAATTTGCCTTGGGGGTTAATTTAAGTGCGCAGTTTATATTCAGCACCACCTGGTGTGCACTCTGTGCTGTGTGAATTATTGTATCACAATAAACAGACCTGGATTTCTCTTAAACAGTAGCGAGAAAAATGCCTGGCAGACCCTGGGCTGCCCCAAGAGAGGGAAATGAGAACTCCAGGCCTACATGTGTCCCTTCCAATTTCATCTCCTCTTTGTTCGGACCTTCCTCCTTTCCACCCAGAGGTTATTTCCTTGGTCCTCCAGACCCCAAGTGCAAGGTTCCATCTCTCCCAGGGACCTGGGCTCCGCAAAAATATTACGTCCCTTTCCTCCCACTAGGCAGTCAACAGTGTCGCTCAGGCTCTGACCCGCATTAGATTGAGAAAGGAGTCGGGCAAAAGGCTGTTTGAACTTTCCCTGGAGTTCCTGGCACCAGAACCTGGGTAACCCCACAGGGTCTTTGTGTTCTTTTTTTTCTTTTTGCCTTACATGGTCTTTACGAAGAATAATTATATGTGATTTATAACTAGTAATAAATTACAGTTTATAGACTATAGGAACAATGTAAGTTTATTTTCCTGAAAGCCAAGTTAGAAATCCCGGTCTAAAGTGAGATGTAAAACAATTGAAATAAATTTTCTAACCAAATGGTCCCAAGCACTGTCAAAAGAAGAAAGAACAGTGTAATCTATCTCTGCAATAACGTTCGTATAATAGTAGGCTCATTTTCAGCTCATTTCCCATCCTGCTGGGCAAGTGCTGTCTCAGATAAGGAAAAAGAGCCAAATAAACTGAGGCGCGGGCCGGTGGGGGGAAGTGTGTGTGTGGGGGTGTAGAACACCAATTATTTTGGATGCCTGGTAAACAGCCTGCGCCAGAGGCTAAGGCTTTTCTGGCTCGCAAACACGTTTTTTTCTCTTTCCATGTGTCTGCCCTCCTGCCTTGAGGCGGCTGGGCGGGGAGGCCTAAAAATAGTCCATGAATCACGGCCTACAATCCTGTTCTGCGGTTACATAAACAGCCGGCCCGGCGCCGGGGCCGCGGGTAGGAACGGAAGATATCTGGGTCAGCGTTGTCACTCTGAATAGGGTCCCCCGGAGCAGGCCTCCGGGAAGCGCGGCGGGGGAGGAGGCTGGGGCCTGCAGGCCGGGAGCGCGCGGCGGCGGCAGGCGGGAGGAG